TAGGATGTTGACTGTGTGAGGATTCACCAGAGACAGAGCAGGGAGCAGAACAGGCAGATCTAGTGAAATCCACTGATGAGGGGAGCAGCGGGTAGGACAGGAGAGGTCTGCTGCACCATGTGGGTCACCTCCCTGGCTGGGGATTGAACTCATGCTGCAGTGTCTGCTGAAACTTCATAGTTCTTCGCTTTAACCCCTTGCACCACCAGGGAGGCCCTGTTATTGTTCATCTTAAGGCTCATTCAGGCTGACTTCTGTGGTGTGGCCCCTCTTCCATTGAGCTCTCCCCTACTTTATGGTGTAAAAAACAGTTCGCTGTCTCACTTCTGGAAGCCACTGTTTCTCCAACTCATCTGAGTTTCTTTCAATGGAGAACGAAGGGTTCTGATAGAAAGCTATTGCTACGCCATTCTTTACACCTTTATTTCTATACCAATATATCAGTATTGAAAACCATGAGCTCACAGTAATTCTAATCCAGTTGCATGGGGTTCACTCCAGTTTGGTAGCTTTTCACTGCAATCTCGTACAGTGAGAAATCCTTCTCCACAGCTGCCTATTTAATCTGCAGAACCTAGACCAAGTGAAAATGCGGGCCTTTATCCAAACAACAAGGAAAAGTTGCCTCTAAAGGTAGGAAAATAGAAACCCTTTTCTTTTTCCCCCACGCTCGCTTCCCTCATTCTCCTCTCTCTCTCCTCCCACCCCTCCCTCTCCCTGACCAGTAATGTGTTTTTATTTGCTATCTCACATTCATTAAAGAAACATTAAAATGACGGGTTACTGGCATGAATTTTGCTGTCTATTTTTATATAGTAGACTATCAGTCTTAAATCCAAGGGTGCTTTTAGCTTTGATTGCAGAGTCACTGATCTCACACAAATCCTGTTTTGGAATTCACACGCGCTTATTTATGAGGTTCTCACCATGACAGGGAAACGGGGCACGAACCTAACTCAGCTGGCTCATCGATGCGCGCGTTCTTCCCGCGTGCTTTAGATTTGGCTTCCTGCTGCCGAGACTGCACTGAAGGACAGGAACCATGGCTTTTCCTATCATTTCCTTCCTTCCATGTTATTTTCACCACCAGTGATTACCCTGATTAACCAAAGTAAGGGCCCTTGTGATGGGCCTGGCCTATTCCATCACCTTCCTGTCTTGAGGTCAGCTGATTTGGGACTTTGAGTTGGTGGTAAACGTCCTTTTGGTTCAATGTAGCCTCATTGTGGACGTGTTACCTTCTCATGTTGACAGGCGCTGCCTCCCTTCCAGCATTCCAGGGAGAGAGTGCACAGGCGTGAACATCACTGAGAGCTCAGGCTTTCGCCCACTATACGGACTTTGGGATACTTTGTGGTGAGAAACCTCTGGATGTTGTCTAGTTTATGATCAGGGTCCCCACTGGGCCTATCACTGAAGAGGAAAATGCCACTGAGCTACATAAATAACAGGCCAGTAAGCCATTGATGTCTTATCAGGCTTTGGGGTTCTGAACTGGGCAGCGAGAGTTAACTGTGGGACCAGCCTACCCGAAGCACAATGTCCATGTCCAAGTACAGAGAGAAATGCAAGTCACTGTGCTGGGGAGGCTGCCAACATTTGCAAACACAACTGAAAATGCCTCAGATAAGATAATACACAGTAAAAGGGACCTAGAGAATAAATGCCTACAAGAAACAAAGAGACTATTGAGACAGGTGGGACTGAGATGATGAACATGTGTTATTTTAGCCACTTGGGTAACAAGTATATACAAGGGTCCTCTCTGGTGATGCAAGAGATTAAAGTGCAGCACTATGAAGATATCAGCAGCCACTGCAGCATGAGTTCCATCCCCAGCCATGGAGCTGACCCACATGGTGCAGCAGACCTCTCCTGCTCACCCACTGCTCCCCTCAGAAGTGGATTTCAGTGATCTGCCTGTTCTGTTCCCCACTCTGTCTCTGGAGAGTCTTCTCATCCCCTGTATCTTTGGCCTTTACCACAGTTCTTGTATGCATAAATAAATAAATAAATAAACAACATAAGAAGTAACTTCTGTTCAAAGAAGCCCATCATGGGCATTTAACCATGGACATAGGAATGTGTCAGTCATGGTACTGAGTTTAATGGACACCCCTCCCTGCCCTGCAATGTTCATGTCTACCCAGAACCTTGAAAAACGACCTTACTTGAAAATGAGTTCTTTGCAAATGTCAGTAGTTAAGATGAGGGCATATTGGGTGAGTGTAGACCATCAATCCAGTGATCCATGTCCTTAAAAGATGCAAACGGGGCCCTCCCTGGTGGCGCAGCGGCTTAAAGCACAGCACTGAGAAGCTAAAGCCACTTCCGCATGAGTTCGATCCCCGCCTGCCCCGGAGGTGACCACATGGCTCAGCAGACCTCTCCTGACCCGCACGCTGCTCCCCTCAGCAGTGTACTTCATCGATCTGCCTGTTCTGCTCCTTGGCCTGTCTCTGGTGAAGCCTCTCGCCGCCCCTGAGCCTCTGGCCTGTACCCCAGTTCTGTATGCACACATAAATAAATCTTTAAAAAAAAAAAGAATAATCTGGGAGGTGACTTAACACTGCTCTATGTCTTTGTTGATAAATGAGTTTGCTTTTGTAGAAAATGAAAAATAAAACCCGAAGCTGTTTGTGAAGGAAATGCACCTGTATCTAGCATAGAGTAGAAAACTCATGGAATTGCTGGGAATGTTTTCCCTACTACAACACCAAACAAAATCAGAGTTCATAGAAGTTAAAAAAAAAAATGTAATCAAATATCACTGCCAAGAACATTCAGACTATTTCTTTCCTAAAGCTGAAAGGTCAGTTGAATAAAAATAGTTAAAGTGAAAATGTTAGTGTTTCTTGATTTTACTTTCCCAGTGAGTATATAAAAGGGTGTATTGTGTGAATATTTGTTATCTTTTAAATGTTCAATTTTTCTCTGATTGTAACAGTGAACATCCAAGTGCAGAAAATCTGAAATTCATGTAAAAGAATAGCATAGTACAAGGCTCTTGTTACCACATAATAGAGAAAATAAAACTGTAAAATTTGTATCTTCCTCAAAAGATTTTTCTTTTAAGTTTTTTGATTAACAGTGAAGTAGCTTGTTTAATTTGCAGTTTTTGTTACTACTAGGAACAATTTTATTGACCTACTATCAGGTACCAACTTTTCTTTCAATTTTTCTAAGATTTTTCTTACTAATTTAAATAAGGTCTTGCAGTCATAAAAAAATCACTAATTAGTTTTCTGTCTTATTCATGGCAAATGATTTTTTTCTAAGTTTCCTTACTGCCTTTTTTAGGGGGGAATGTATTTTTATGTCCACAATTTCCATTTTTTATAGTCACACATACTCATTAGTAAAGCAAAAATGCCTATATTTAAAAAAATCTTCATTGTGGAATTTTACTTCAAATTTTACTGAAAATGCTTTTTGATAGGAGCCTCCTTCAATCTGAATTCCTTTCAATATTGTGCTTTGAAATAAAATCCCAAGGCCCTCCATGGTGGGCAACAGGTTAAAGCACAGCACTATGAAGCAAGCC